GTGTGTTGAGGGGGTCTTGTGTGTGTGTGTGTGTTATATGTGTGTGTGTGTCACCTGTGATGAGCGGCTCCTGTGTGTGTGTGTGTGTCACCTGTGATGAGCGGCTCCTGTGAGTGTTCATCAGTGATGAGTGTGAGTCTGGATGAGAGCCACCTCACCAGACTGACATATTCAGATGAGCTGAAGCCCCGCCCACACGCCGCCCGCAGACACGCCTCCTCCGCCAGCGGCCCGTCATACCTGAGCAGCAGCACAGATTCAGACCGGAGGTGACGTCACACACACTCAAATGCCCTGTGCTCATATCAACAACAGCAGCACGATTAATCATTACAAACAGGCTTTCTTTAAGACGTATAGAAACATCAGAATAAATTAAACAGAATATCAATATGGCTTCTAAACGTAAATGTCTAGTATTCGCAACATTTTGAAGCTTGAAAATACAACTTACTAACAACAATTACTTTTTACAATTTTACAAAATAAATAAATGCATAAAAATGAAAGAATATCTCATGAATATGCTCCCAAACTCTAAAACAGAGAAATAAGTGTTCCAGCAAACAGTGCCGCTCGTCCTCAGGGTTTCTGTTTGTGTTCCAGTGCAGAAGAAACCTTTACATTAGAGACTAAATAACACAAGACGGATTTAAATGAAAATAAAGCGAGTTTATGATTGAGATGAGAACAAATATCTGTCAATTAACTCAACAAATTCAACTTCATTCAAAGTGAAATCAAGTTTTCGTTCCCCATCGACAGAAATGTTCTTGTTTTGATCATAAACGTGTTGAATTGTGTTGAATTTCTCAGAAAACGAGAACACGGAGGATTTCACAGCATTTACTGTCATGACTTCAGACATGTAAGACTTTCTGCTGATTGAAAATCTGTTTAGACCGTGATGAGACTCTGTTATGAATGCGTCTGTTTATGAAACACATCTCACAATCAAACATTACATGATCTGATGCTCATTTCAACCAGCTGCTGCTTACCCGACCTGATCCAGGATGTCAAGTATATCGCTCTCCATCCTCAGCACATTCACATATGATTAAATTAATGACTTTAATAACACTGATCACATTAACGAAGGTTAATATTTCATTTAAAAAGCCGAAATGAATTCATCCGAACGCGCGTCTCTAGCAGTGCGCCGCTCAAATCAGACCGACGAGAAACGCAACAACACCAGCGTTCCGCTAAACCTTCATTTCAACATCAGTAGCCTACACAATATATACTGCACACACACACAAGCACGCACACACACACTCACTCACTCACTCACTCACTCACTCACTCACTCACTCACTCACTCACTCACTCACTCACTCACTCACTCACTCACTCACTCACTCACTCACACACACACACACACGTCTTTTTACTGTGGTTGGTGGAGATCCATTCAAAATATACCATATTGTAAGCATACCGCAATCTACTGTAATGATGTTACGACAATAAAATAGTAAGAAAAGGACACTTTCAGAGTCTGTGCCTTTTTTAATGACAGTAATGGGTCATGACAATTATTAAATGCTATTTGTCATCATAATCTTGTATTTAATATAAACACAAGTTATTCTTCACTAAATGTCTAAGTATCACCTGAGGATGATAAAGATGTTCAATATGCTTCATTATTCAATAGAAACACTCATTCTATAATCACACATGAATCGAAGCATGTTCAGAGCACCCTGATGTACTAACTCTAGCAATAACTCTTCTTAATCAAATCTGATTTGTATTCTGCTCAGAGTCCTTTGATAAGAAATAGTTCAGAAACTTCAAAGTCATTCAAAACCGATTGCGGATCATTTTTCTGTGGAAATCTTTCTCATATCATTTCTAGAGATAATGCCAAGCTCCAAGACGCACAAAAACACTCGTTTGTGATTTAGAAAGCATGTAAAAGTGACTTCTTACAGACGTCTTGTACACAGATCTTTAGCAGAGCTCTTGCAGACGCACCTGTGGACCTCTGAAGCGTCCGAAGGAAGCACCTGCTTCTCAAGCCTCGGAGATCTTCCTGGCTTGTGATGAGCTGCAGTGGGACTCCAGCTGATTCTCCTTCTTCAGCTGAGCTTAGTTTGCCTTCTCTCTCACGGAAGACTGCTGGATTCGGCTCCTGATTGGAGCTTGCACTCCAGACGGACTCATACTGACTCTAATCCAGATGCTTATCAACTTTGGGTTTTTTCAAAAACACGTTTAAGACATTTCAAATGACTTTAACTGTAGATTTGATTGTTTTACCCTCATCCCATCCAAACCTTTCATTTTAAAATATGAAAATACATCATGTAAATATACATTATTACATGTGTACACCTATGATAAGCTAACAAGACTGAAATAAACCATTCAGTTATTGTGGGGAAATTATATTAAAGGAATACTTAAGGCAACAAGTAACATTAGCTGATCATAAATGACATGAATGTAATGACAAGATTGAAGTTTAAACCAAAGTCAAATTAAATTTAAGCTTCAATGTCAAACAGCTTCTATTTGATTTGATACGAGGTGCTGGTAGACTCTCAAATTGTAGTGCGTTACTGAGCAAAGAGAAAGAAAATATGTTCCTTTATTTGTTATCAACATCATACACGCATTAAACATTTCACCAGGGTTTCCCAAACTGGGCTTCATGGAAGAACTGCAGTGGGTTTGTGAGTCGATAAAAAGCTAATAATTAGTTAAATCATAAAAATAAATTATTTTAAAATAAAAAAGATCCAAATAAAACACCTGAGCACTAAAAACAGAAATATTTGATCTGTTTACCTGCATGTCATTGTGACCATTAACCAACATCAGAGAACTGTGAACATGCAAATATATTGTTAAATGACTGAAATATTAATTTCCTCAGACATATTTCAAGTAAATATTTTATTTTAAGGGGTTTGGCTGGCCAAGACGTTTGTGAATCACTGCATTATATGATCAAGCATTAATAAACATGAAAACAGCAGAGACATTACATGGTTTGAAGAGCTTTTGTCCAGAATCAACAGGTACTGAAGCTCACTGGAATTCTGCCAGCAATACCAAGCCAAGGGCCACTGACCTATATATATATAATTGTTATTATTATTACAATTATTATATTATTGTTGCTTTTGTTAAAATAATCACAAGATGGTCACAAGATGAATATTCAGATTTTTTCCCCAGTAGTCCGTTTTATTCAAACAATTATGAAAATTTTTGCATTTAGATACAGAAGAACTTTGCCTGTTGAATATTAAAAACAAATGACCAAACACAAAATCTGGATCTCCGTGTCTGCATGCAAATCAGCAGCTCCTGCTCATCTCCAGACTGGATCTTCTCTCCACTTTCCCTGATTGCAGATTCAATTATTAGATTTGTCAGTATTAATATTTTTATACTTAGATTTTGGGGGGGGGGGATCAAACTGTGTCCCAACCAGACACGACGCGATAAAAGTATCTTTTCCATGTAGTTTGTGTCATAACCACACGTGCGACACGTGACACGTGACAATAAGCGACACGGAATTCTATTTTAGGAACGGTTTTTATTTTCTGCACGTCGCGGCAGGAACAACATACAGAATATAACAGTAATAATCTCTCTAAGCTCTTGGGGGAGCAAGTCACTGTTAATAAGTGAGTCGATAATTGCGATTGAACCGTATAATTTAAACGGTTGATTCATTCAGGAACGAGATGCAAAACAGTGCTGCTTTGTTTGGAACCATTTTTTGTTGGTGAAACAGAGCAAAAACTAGGCAATATGGTGTCTAAAACGTAAGTCTCTTAATATTAACTTCTTGTTTATTGAACTGTTGTATAAAAATCAATATCACATTTGTGATTTTTTTGAAAAAAATGGCACTTTTTTGATATTGATCAACTATATGAAATGCATTTTATTATACTGAATCATGTGAAAGAACACGCTCTAAATGAGCATTAAGTCTAGCTAGTGTTTAAGCACTCATAACTCCTCTTATAATCAATGAAGCTGTCCATACACTGTATGATAAATTAATCTCTAACTTACATCGTACGTACATCTGCACTTTGTTGTTTATGATGAGGGAATTCGCGAGTTTCTGTCTGAAAAAATAAAAAACTGGAGTTTCAGCGATGACTAATCTGAACGCCTCTGATTGGCTACTGCATTCCTAAGCTCAACAGAATCGTGTGTGATTGGTTACAATGAGGTACGCTGTAAAAATAGAATATGATGTAACATAAACAGGTCTAAATTTAATACAGCAATCGAAACTTAATTTTAAGTATTAAAGTTTTATTGAAAAACCAGGGGACCCCCAAGTATATTTTTGGGGGTGTTATGGGGGGTCCAGGACCCCCCCAGCCAATTCCAACACTGCTCAGGTAACGATTATGTGCTTTATTCAATGTTAAAAGTGTCTAATGTGAGTTTGAATATTATTTTGCTATATCTTTATAGCCATAGTGAAAGCAACAATAGATATTTTACCTTGAATCATCTATTTTCCGTGTCCACTTTTCTTTTCTACACACTCACCATTTTTTTGCTGTCACGTCGTATCTACACTGGACGCGTAAGCATTGCAAATCATTTGAACGTTGTGTCAGTACGTTATAAATAGAACAAGTCAGCAGTTTACTGTCGGGGATTTGTCGTGTCGCGCCGCATCCAAGACAGCATCACTGATTATAACGAGTTCTATTGTATTTTATTGCACGGTCCAGTGTAGACACGATGTAAGTTAATGTAGCTTTCTGATGCTG